CTTTCTTGGTTTGCCATCACTACACAAAAAGAGACATTGAGAAGTTATTGAACTGTTGCAAATATCTAGCCCGACTCAAAGCTTTTCAAAGGAAAATTTTGCATTGCAGAGTTCATTGCAAAGGTCTGTTACTATAAGTAGTAACAATATAAGTTAAGAATGAGTTAGGAATCTGACCTTAAAAGACAAAGTAAATAAGATAACTTCTGCATTTAGGTATAGTGATAATCCAGCATAGTTTCAGCTTGTTTCCTTGTGTGTTTCAACATCAGGAAAAACTAGCTAGTGTTTCTTTTTTGAAATGGTAAGGCCCCAGGTATTTTTTCCAGGTATTTGGAAATATATACTAGGACATAATAAACAAGAGGAGCAGAAATGCAGTAAAGACATTGTGTATTCTGTTAAAGATTAAATAGGTCACAAAGAGTTCATAGAACCAGGAAAAATCTGCTTTGCATAGTGATGTAAATACCAGGAGATACTCTTGTGTGTATAATGGAAACAGAAAAAGTGACTGCGTAAGTATTCCTCCTGGTTTGTTTTTTTTTTTCTTAATGGGTTTAAAAAAAAATTAAGTTGAAGAGCTCCTTACCATATTTAGTTCAATTAATAATGACTATTAATGAGTTACGTTGTTTACATTTTTTTATCTTGTATGTCCAGCACTTCAGCTAGACTGTTTCCACCTGTCTGCTCTATTTTACTGACAAATTTCTCTGGATTACAGTGTGACTGCTATGAAGGTACCATTAGATAAGTGAATTATTTTTCTAAAATTTATCTTCTGCTATTTGATGTATGATCTTATAACAGATGAGCATTATTTACCTGCTTTCCTGGAAGAGCAGACTGTGTTTCTTTGTACAGGGGAAGTTAAGTGAATTAAGCACATGAGCAGTTAGCCCGTTTGTTTAGGGAGGCTGGTGTTGAGACCAGGAGGTTATGGCCGGGTATGGAGCAGTCTGGAGGAAAAATACTCTGAATGTAACCATTCTGGTAGAAGAACTGAATTGAAATGGGAACACCACTGTTAATTCCTGTGTAATTACATTCCTTTGTTGTTAAAAGTGAAAATTGTGGACAAGAGGAAAGTTTGAGCCTGGAATTGTGTTTTGAAGCAAATTTGAGCTGATGCCTTTCCAAAAACCTTTGGAGATTGCCAGGATGTAGTCACCTGGAGGTAGTTGCCTGATGGACATGTTTATGTGCTTTTATTGACTAACTTTTCTGTGAGTTTATCAGCATCTTTCATCATGCAGGTTATTTCTAAAATACCACCTGCTACAAAGTTTTGCTTCTCTTCCTCTCTTCTCTCCACTAAACCACAGTTTGAGGGAAGGATTCACCATGTATTGTTCTTTCATTTACCACCTCCGGGTCAGCCATCATGAATTCCCTGCTCTTTGAGGCTGGCATTTAAATCTGCACAAAAATCTTTGCAGTTCATTGTGCTTAATGTGATCACTATCATAGGACCAGAGGCCCCAAAGCCCTCCTTGCAGAAGTAATTCTGCAGGAGTCTCAGCAGGGGTACGGGTTGCAAGGTATTTGTGCCTTGAGATTTGCACCTTACAAATTGTGCATACCCTCTCTGCAACATGGTAACATCCTGCAGTACTTCCTCCTGTAAAGTACATTTTAAAGTGTTTTAATGTTTCATATAATGATTATTCTTCGAACATCTCTGCCTCCCTCTCACCACCACCCCTCCCCAAGATTTTTAAATGCATTTTTTTTTTTAATATGAGGAATTCCCTTTCACTAGGAACTGTGGAATTACTGCATCTGAAGAGAGTACTCTCCTTTTTGCTTTTTTCCATAAGTGTGCCAGTCTGATGCATCTATTTTGAATGTCAGTCGTTCATATTTCTACCCCCAGGCTGTAAGTTCATCTTTTCATAGGAGTATCAGTTCAGATGTTTTCTCAGCTGCGTGTTTCTCTGGTGCATGTCCGTCCCTTGTCCCCCACTGTACTGGTATGTACTTCAAAATACTGGACTTTGTTACTTCAAATACGAAGTGGCACACCAGTATGGTGCCTAAGTCTGGCGTCCTTCATACAGGCCATAAATTGCAAAAATTATTGTCTTAGCTTTTGCTGTATGTGCAGACAAATGAAGCTTAATATCTCTGTCCAGGCTCCAAATTACCTATGAGATTCTATATTTAATCATTTCAATCTGTGTTGCTCGTGGCTTTTCAACCTCTATTAGACTTCCTGTCAGAGTACCAGCACCACAGGACAACAAGGTTCACTGGCTGGCTGGCTCTGTACTTTATTGTGTGTTGTTTTTATTGTATTTGTGGGATTTAATGTTATTTCACTACAAATCTTCACAGTTTTTTTAAAGTTCTGTATTAACCCCAGAATTGGGTTAAGAATTAAAAGGCTTTCAAAACATCCTTGTCCTGAAACAACTCTGCAGGGCATGAATAAGTAACAAATGGATTGTTTTTCAGTCAGAATGAATCAGCTGACATGAGCTTCCCTGTGAAAAATCTAGTTAAGATTTACAGATACCTGTAGGGTTATATTTCTTCCGTCTTAATTTATACAAGAATTTAGAATACCTTGAAACAGTGATCATAGGCTGAATCTACCTCTGAAATTACAGATCTTCTTGAACCTTGTGAGAAGATCAAAATGTATGAAATTCTGTGTTAGAGAGGATGTGTTTTGTCTGTGTTTTTATAGTATACATTTAGCATGACACTAGGTTGATTAGATTATTTCCTGAAGCCACAATTTAGTTCTTCTGGGTCCGACTATGTAATTTTTTTAAAAAAATACAGTGTGCAGTAAGAAGCTCTACTGGTATTTATGATTGTTGATTCACAATAATTCCAGACTAGGTAGAGGTAGATATTTAAAGAAGATACCAGCCGATTGAATATTTTGAGTAAATACTGCTTGCAGTTTCATCTTAAAAATGTTTTTTCTTTCTCTTATATGTTAGTCTATGATAAATATATGTATAAAGTTATTATTATCAGGTACGTTATAATTATACCGTGTACAGGTTATAGTGTTTGTAATAAATACCTCCAGTATAAATTGTACTGTGGCATAATTAACCATCACCTTTCTTTCAACATCTCATTACTTTCAGTATAAATTTTCTGGAAGGACCATAAATAAATAGGTGGTCTTAAGTAGCCTTTTTTCACCAACGTGACCTTAATTTAGGGGATAATATAATTTTTTTTCAAAACTTACTTAGAAAACACTCACTGCAGAGGTGAAAAATTTTATGTTTTGCCTCTGATAATTAGAGTCCCAAATCTGCTCAAATTAGATTAATCTGATTTTTCCATTTGATGTCTTTCACACTGGGCACTAGATGTCTTCACTGGGCTTTCTTGCCTCTCTGACATCAATGAAGTGTCTTATTCCTACCTGGTGGCTTCTAAGGAGCTGGCTGAAGGAGCTCTGTTCTATGCTCTTTCAGAAGTTTGACCGTATATTCTGAGTTGTGTTTTCTCTTTAACATCTGGTAAGGCTGAAATTTTAAAGTTGAGTGTTTTCACTGGGGTGTTGAGCATTCCCTTTCATGGTTTCCTGTAAATCTGTTATTTTTCATCAGTGGGAATCTTAGAAGTGCTGGAAAGTAAGTGCTGGTCTTCAGCCCGCTTATCTCTGCATGGACCCCCTGTGCCAAGTTTTTAGGATGTGCCCTGCCATGTGGTCGATGAAGCCTGTCTGCTGCAGTGAGTGGGATAGCTGCTTCCAGGGCTTCCCAGCTGAGAGGCTTGCCAAACAAGCTGGGAAGTCCATGAGGAAAACTGACAGCTGTGAGGTCAGTCCCACAGTTTAGGCAGTTCGTGTGTGAAAAGGTCCTATGGTAGCATTCATGCTGGTGCTCTGATATTAATCTTGAATACCTCTAAAATGCCCTGTATTATTAAACCAATAGTGGTGGTGTCTATTAATAGTACCGCTATGGGAAGGTAATGAGACATCTTTAGAGCCCTCTGGTAGAAATGTTTCAGGATCTCATGCTATTATTTCTGAAAGAGCGTGGTAACAGAGAACATCAGGAGGTCTTGGGAGAAATTAGGCAAGATAATGTGATTGCTGAAAAAATAACACAAGTTGCAGCTGTGTGATAAAAGCTCTGAAAAGTTTTTTCAAACTATATAAAGTAAAGAAAAAAAAGCTAAAAACGACTCCCCAGGCAGGGCTGAAACAGATGCATTCTATCTGCTGAGGCTTAGTCCTGTGGTATTAGGCATAATTTGAAAGTTGAAGTTATTTTAAAATGTACAGTTGTTTCTAAAAATTTATTGAAAAGCAACTTCAGGTTTTGTTTCCTGAAAGTGCAAAAGTTTCACCAAGTACAGTAGGTTTCCTTGTTTTCATGTGTTAATTCTGGTATTCTAAAAGCGTGCAAATGGCATTTGTCTTTGGATTTACAAAAACTCTAGATATTCAGAGTTTGAATTATTTAAACTCCCACAACACATGCACTTTTGCTTTTCAAGCTTGAGTTATAATTTAATTAAAAACTTCTGGTGCATCGCTAGCTATTTAAATATTAAAATGTTCCATGGATCACTTTCGATTATCTACCGTCATGAAATTCCTGAAGATGTCAGATTTTTAAGATTCCCAAAGTTGCGCTTGGAATTGTCTGTTGATGCAAAGGGGACTGTGATAATTACATACATCCATTAGTATCAGCAGAGGAGATAAACTTTGGGGAGGCTTAATGGGCATGTCTCAGTGACAGCTAGCAAAGAACATTTGGCATGATTAAGGATGGATTTGAATGTACTTGAAAATATACTCTCATTATGGACGCCCAGTGGAAGTTGCACTACAAATGTTAAATTCCCCAGAAGAAGAGTTGTGTGGCAGGGAAGCTTTGAAATCCACTGTGGCCGTCATCCAAATTACTCTCTTCTCTTTGTGTCTTTCCGCTGTCAGATTCACTTTGTGATGCCCAACTTGGCTCCCTGCATCTTTGAAAAGAGGCAACCTGTTGGTTTCTGTGTTTCAGATTGTCCGAAGATACATCAAGGACTGGCTTGAAAGGAAGAAGCCTCCATTTGGCGCTATCAGCAGCAGTGTGCTCCTGATGATCATCTACACAACGTTCTGTGATACTTTTGCCAATCCAAATATTGACCTTGATAAATTTAGCTTGATCATAATAGTGTTCATAAGTAAGTTCAGCCTTAAGGCATCTCTTTTATCTGTGTTTCGGGTGCGTAATGAGCTATATGTACTGGAAAGCGGGGGCTGCAGCACACTGGCATGGGGCTAGACCTTGCGGTTTTAATGCGTCTGGTAAACCAGATTACCAGACTTTTTGAGGCTGGATGCTTTTAGGGAGACTGAGTAAGCATTTAGAGAGGGATGAACCCTGCTGTTCAGGTGTGCCTGAGATTGCTCAGTGGCCCTTCCTTTCTAAAGGGGCACAGTATGACTTTCCAAGTGTTTACGACCATTCTGGTTTGACTTCTTTGTTATTAAAAAAACATAGATTCACAGGTGTCATATTCCGAACAAAAAGGAAAGATTTGAGTTTCAACCGTTACTCAGAAGCACTGTTATAACTTTTAAATAGTCCTTTCTTACCGTATTATAAACCTAGAAACTAGTTGGGAGTTTGAATGCTGATATATTTCTGTGGATGAACACATTTCTTGCAGAGTTTGTTTTAGAAGCACTCTAGTCATTCAGCCATAAATAACATACACATGAGAATAGACTGCTGGTATCCTTGCCATCAGTTAAAAATACCCTCGCAGATCACTACCTCCCAGGGAAAGGCAGTGGTATACAGGCACTGTCTCCTCTCCCAGCAGGGAATTCCCGTCTTGCTTCAGACTGTCCAGAGCTAGGAGTTTCAATTTGCTTGGGGGAGAGGTAACTACAGTATACTACAGTATAAATCACATCTCATACACTCTAAAACTGTTAGATTTCAAGAAATCAATACATCACCTACCTTGGAGTGTGTGTATGTGCACATGTTTCTGTCTAATAAAAATAATGCATCTTCTATAAATCCAACCTCTGCTAAAATCAGTAGGAAATTTGCCCCTGCCCTTTGTGGGTCAGTTCTTATCCTATCCTAATTGTGGCAGTTTTTTGGATTATGAAACACTATTCATGTGTAAAATACTGCATGGAATTATAAATGGTGCTGTATAAATACTTTATTCTGAAAGCAAAGGAGGAAACCATGCTAAGGAGCTTTTTTCTAAAATGCAGGAAATACATTTTTGCATAGGCACCTGAGAAGTACCACATCCCAGATGCACTTAAATCAGTGCAGAGTTGTCAACAAAAAAAAAGGGATATGGAAATTTTCAATTCTGACTTAACATGCAGAGAAACTCAGAATGAAGTAATTTTATGTTACTGTGCTGACTGCTACTTTGGAAAAAAAAGGAAGTTCTTTTTTAGTTAAAAAGGCACGTTCTTCCTTGAACAGTTGGTGTAGAGTGGTTGCTTCCATTGCCTTTCTTGTTCTTTCTTTTATTTCTCTGCAAGACAACTCTTTATTTGTGCCATGTGTAATTATATATACCACTTGCGGTGCAATACACTGAAAGTCATTATATATACATTTTCATTGCCAGTGTGCATAACTGGAGTTTCTTAGTACAAATATAAACCTAAGCATTGAAACTGCTTGGAACATGTTCGTCATCTGTTTTTTTCTAAAATATTTATAAAACCAAAACCCAAGGAAATTGTGGAGATGGATATGCATGCTCTATTACAAAAAAAGTTTCTGTACGACCACTGGATGTGTTGACTGGATGTGTGTGTTGTGTTATACCAGGATGTGAAATTATCACAAGGAGCTTGAGGTGAAACTGCATTTATTATTCTGTTGATTAATGTTTTTATGTAATTTTTTATGTTAATATTCTAGCCACAGCAAAATATGCACAAGGGAGAAGTGGTAGCAACCCATGCTTATTGCTTTACAGAATTATACGTATTAAGGGATTTTTTTTTGTGTACATACTAGATTAATGTACTTGCAGAAAAATTGTAATTCAGGAACAATGGATTGCTTCCTTAGTTCATGAAGGAAGAACTAAGTGCATGCTGAGGTGACATTTAGACATCCTAGGAAATGTATGTAAGAGAATGGAAAATGTCACTGGTAATAGTTAATATCCCTGACATGTTTCCCAGTTGTAAACTGGGGTCAAAATCAAATGTGTTGTCTTGGCTTGCGCTATCCTGTGGGACACGTTAGCTTTATTGCGTTCACAAGTGTTGCAAGAAAAAGGGAGAGGACCCACCCCAGATTCTGCTGCAGGTAAAAGCCCTTCCCCCATAACCCACAAACACCCCGAAAAGGCCCGTGCAGGTCACAGGGTTTCCCCTCCAGCTCTGCGGGGAGTTCCTGCACCCCAGCCCAACGCTCAGGCTCTGCAGTCCCACCAGCTACTCACAGCACAGCGGGGGAGCCGCCTGCTTCTCCCCACGTCCCCACAGACCGAGGGTGGGCTCGGTGCACCCCACAACCCCTGCGGGTGTTGGGAGAGCTGGCCGAGAGGAGAGCTCCCCTCAGGCTGCTCAAAAACCATCTCCACTTACAAAGCAAAGTGAGCTTGAATGAAAGCTGCTTTGTCTGATGTACACTGCCCAGTTCTGGAATTAGCCTTTGTCTCAGAGGGAATTAAAACGTCCGTGATGATCTTCTCTTAATAGGTCATGCTTCAGGAGAGTAATATACTCAGCGTGTGATAATATTTATTGTGATCAGACTTACACGTTGTGCTTTCTCCTGTTAAATAGAAAGGGACTTAATACTTGGCAACGAGAGCATGTCTGAGAGGTTTTATGTTGTCAACCCAATAAGCAAAACTAGTGCAAACAGATGTGCAGCATGCAGTAGTGAACTTCACTGACATTCATTGCATCAAGAAATACTTGATTCAGAAGAGTTACCTCAGGATGAACTTGTGTAGCCACAGGATTAGCTCTAGCTTTCTTGGATTTATTGTTCTTCCAGACAGTTTTTTAAGGTTGTCTGTCATTGGATTTCTCTGGATCCAGCCTAGCTTCTGACCTGTTGTATGGGGGCAAAAGGCATGTACACAGCAATTGCAGAGATTTAAGTGATCTTTACTTTTGTGATCTAAACCTAATCTTAGCTTGTTTCTCTTTCAGTATTTTCTGTTCAGATGAGCTTCATGTTTTTGACTTTCCTCTTCTCTACAAGGTAATTGCATGTGCTGAATCGGAACCTTTGAATATTTGTTTTGTGTGATATCTTTGGCTTGGGTGATACAGTTTATGCAAATGTGTAAGGGCAGGTTCCTGAATAGGGGTGACTTCATTTTGGTATTTCTTATTGTCCTTACTGCATTTTCTCTGTTAGAGTTTCATAGGCTAGGAGAGCAGGACCTGAATTCAGTCCTTTCTTGTGTGTTAATTACAGAGTTGTTAAATCTCAATCAGTCACTGCTATACTTCATCCACTGAAAAAAATGGATTTGCACAGATGTCACTGAAGGTATAATTTGCCCTGCAGACATGCTGATGACATATGAGAGAGAGAACTCAGTTTGACTTTTTACATCTGAAGATACATTTGCTGGGCTGGCAATTCACTCTTCTCTGTATATGTCAAATTTTGCTACACTTATATGGTGATTCTTAAAAGACAATTGTCCTGAACTAATGTTTGGTAGAGCTGTTTTTTTTATTTTTAAATATCAACCAGGAAAAACAGATGTACATTCACTTCTCAAAAAAAAGTACCATGTGAATGATGTTAGCCAATGGCTTAGTGCATCACTTGAGCTGGGCAGAGTATTCACTGTTGTCCTCTAATTTAGGCTTACTTGAGTATTTTTCTTAGCAACACTCTGCTGAATGGGAAGTGCCACACTACAGCAGACTTTATGCTGTGTATATGTTTTATATAAATTATACAGTACCCATAAGGGAGAATCACAAAGAAGGTGCCATGTCTTAGAGCTACTTCTGCTTTTTTAGTGCCACAAGAAAATTTCTGTGTGGCAAGATCATACCCTGACCTTAGAAGGCATTTTTAAATAACTTTTGAACTGCTAGACCTAACCTGGGGGAAAGATATGTCCCAACTGTAAAATCTAAAATGCTGTAAATAGTAACCAACTCAGACAGTATGGTAAATATTTAGAATCTCCTAAAATGATTCCTAATTTGGACTGAAGGGTGATCCATTGGCTAGTCATATACCTCTCCCTGTATCTCATTTTTCTTCCCTTCCTGGGCATAACTCCCAGTGTGTAAACACTTAGATGCAGTTTTTCTCTGAAGTGGAAGATAACTACATATTCTAAGCAGTGTTTATAGTGTAGCCTCAATGTATTACCTACATTGAGTATTTTGTTAACATTACATACTAGGAAAAGAAATTGTAGGTCATTCTCTTTTTTTACAGAGGCAAGCTGGCCAGTGCTGTGATATAGCATGTTTGCAAAAATAACATTGGCTGGAATAAAGTTGCGTCGTACATACTATGTGTTCAGAATTCCTTTCCTTCACACGGGAGCATGTTCATTAGAGAGTTTGCCACAACTGAGAAACAATGCTGCTTTTGTTAAAAAAAAAAAAAAAAAAAAAAAAAAAATCAAACACTACTATACATTTGCGGGTAGAATTATTTCTGTCACTAGACCTGATCAAAGTGATGTGAATGTGCATATGGATCCTCAAAGTAATATATTTCATCAATGATGTTGTAAGGTTTTTGCTATCAGAGGTTATTAAAACTCTTTCTTTTCTAGGAATAACTCTAGTTTCACACCAGCAGACACAGTGGCTATCATTTTCTGTTCCACACACAAATCCCTCACCCTGGGTAAGTAAGGAGATAAGCTTTTGAGCAAAACAGTAACATTCATACTTTGCTGTGTTGAAAAAAAAATGTTGGTTGCTGGCTTTTCTGCTTAAATATTTTGGTTTTAGTGTGACAAGTAATGCTACCAGTGTGATACTAATAGTAGGATAATATTCTTGCACAGATAAAGTAAGTGCTTATTACAGGGCAGACAACATAGCCTTCTCAGCTGAGCTTTTAGTGGTTATACAGTAAAACCACCTTATTTATAGAAAGCTGGGTTTTTCTTTCTGTTTTTACTCTGTTCTGTTGCCTAATCCAATATTGATAAAATTTCAGGTTTGTTACTGAAAAGATTGTAAGGTATATCTGCCCAGTCTCACAGTAAAATCTTACACCTAAAAGCTGGGATGTACAAGTGAAAATCAAAGCGTGTAGTGTATTCAGAATTCACAAATAGACAATACTGTCTTTTGCCTAACATGAGCAAAATGCATGTGTTTATTTTAAGTCTGCAGATGTTTTGGATAGTTTTATCTATTAGAATTCATTTATCAAAACACCATTGAGATATTTGTCACTTATGACCCCTTAGTGATAATAAGATGATGCCCCCTCCCCTGCCACTAAAAAACTCCACCACTCACTCAACCCAGGACAGATGTTCTGATGGAAATTCACAAAATACTGCTAAATCAGTTATGCTTACAGCCACTTGCTACTGCTTCACCCATTATGTTCAGTCAGTGAAATGACTAGTACTTGAATATTTTCTTACTGTTTTTCAAAATATGAAAACACGTGTTTGATAAAGCATATGCGACTGAATATATGCCTTTTCAAAACTGTATCTGTCAAAGAGAAACACAGCTAGTGTCAATAACAAAGGTAAGAACTCAGCCTGAAACAGGGGAGGAGCAACTCGGGACTTAGTTGAGATGTTTTCCAAGTCAGTTTGATATAGTGAAACTCATCTCAGGGTTCTTTGCTTCAGCCAGGCCTGTGCTGCAGAACTGTTAGCAAGTGCCCTTGAAAGTCTGTGGGAAGTGAAGGAGTTCCTGGAAGACAAGAAAAAGGCAAACATAATGCCTCTTTTTCACAGTGGAAACGAGGAGGGGACGAGGAATTATAGATCAGTGAGTTTAACTTTATTTTGTAGAAAACTACTGAAACAAATCATTACATAAATTATTTTAACAGTGTAGGAAGAAACAAGGAAATGAGTAACAGCCCTGTAGATTTGTCAAATGTATATCATACCAAACTAATCTAATTTCGTTTCACAAAAGGTCCTGTGGGTTGCAGAGAAGTAGCAAAAGTTGTATGGCTTGAGAGTGTTATGGCTTTTGACATTTGCATGATGTTCTAGGCTCCACAATTCAAAAATTACGTGGACCAACTGGAAAGAGATCAGAGGAGAGTGCCATGAATGATCATAGATCTCAAAAATGTGACCCCAGAGGAAGGCTGAAACAATTGGGATTGTTGAGAAAAGACAGCTGAAATACGGTAGTGATCTTCAAATGCATAAAAGGTTGATACAGAGAAGGAAAAAAGTAACTCTTTCACAATGGACTTTGAAAGGGAAGGACTTCGTTACAATGATGAAGACTTAAGGTAACAGTCAGGGAAACGTGCCTAGTGCAAAACAGTTTAGCTTTGGAGTATGTTGCCTATTGTTGTCTTGAATCTCCTGTCATTGTAGACAAGCCTCAGACAGCAATTAGATAGCTAGAGTTTATCCTGCCACGGAGCAGCACATAGATTAAGCGACATTAGGTCTTTTTCAGCCAAATGTTCTGTGAACCTGAAGCTTCAACTAATAAATGAGCTTAGATTCAGGAGGAGTTATATTTGTATTTATAGAAAGCAACCCCGCACGTAAGTCATAACACACTACCTTTACCTGCTATTTGGAGGTGCATATAAATTTAGGACGCAGCTGTGATACTACAAAGGGGAAGCTGGCTGTATTTAACAGCACAAATATGTAAGTCTCCTGTTCCCTCTCTGGTGAAAGCAGTGTTACATATGCTTTGTTGAATACTTTTGTGGCTTGCCATAACACAAAGCCTTTTTCTAGTATTTAAGTCCTAGAGGGGCTTGCCGTCACAGAAAAAAATGAGGACTTCATTTCTTTTAGTCACTCTACCGAGCATCCTCATTGGAGCCTGTCTTGACCTGCACCCTGTGCACACAGCTGAGTCGATTCACTTTTCTTCCGCTAGTACACTCTCCTTTTTGTATTTTATTTTCTCCTTTAGAAGAACCTAGTTTGAGTTTCCTAGCTTGCTTGATTTTTTGGCTCACGTTTTCCCAATTCCACATTACTACTCTCATTAGCACAGCCTAACAAGTTAGGCTTCATATTTTGCAGCTTTCTTTGCCCAAGCATGCCAACAGAAATACTTGGGGCCACCTTGACTTCAAGGACACGTAGAGCTTCTCCCCAGCTATACGTACTTTTACCCTGCTAATACAGATGTCTCATGGGTAAGTGTACAAGTTGAAATGGAACAGGTAGATGGTGGAACACAGTATTGTGGGACTGTTTATCGGCTACAAACTGTTCTGTTTGTCAGCTTCAGGACAGACTGCATTCCCTTCATCACTGAAGAGCTGGTGTATTGTGGAAGGCAACTTTTCCTCCTAGGAGGCTAGTCACAAGGTGTAATTCGTTCTTAGGCTTTGATCCTTTGCACTACCTTATCTTACTGCTCAGGGCCTGCATTGAGATCGCTGGGTGGTTGGGACCTGTGCTTCCCTTGCTGTATTCCATCTCCGGGACTCAGCTTTGTCAAGGTTTCTTTGAGGCTCCCAGCCTTGTCTTGCGTGGGGCCAGCAGCAGCATGTCCTGAATTGGGCACCACCCCTGATGGGGAAATGGTATTTTTGGCCGTCCCTGGGAGCCCATCTTTGGTGTGCACCCTGTATGGTGCATGCACTGCGTAGGTGTGCCCACTCTGTCAGCTGCAAGCTGGCTGGTTTTGAGACCACTGGTGTGTTACTCTGTTCAGTATCAGTACCAGGTCCGGATAAGATGGAGCTGCATAAACACACATTTCTGTGTAAAAAGGGAGGACTGGATTTTATAAAGCTGTAGTGCGACGAGGCATGCCCCTGAGCTGATGATGTAAACAGGGACGTTAACCAGAGCAGCTGGCATTTATTCTTTCATTGAATGTGGAAGCAGAGTAGATCGAATTTGTTTTTAAGGATCAGCCATTCCCGAATGACAGTTAAATCTATCCACAGCACAGTCTTGTCCACCCTGATCTTAGCAGAAAGAAGAACAGACGTAGGCATTTTGGCCCTTACTCTTTTGTTGTTCTGTCACATTTCTACTTGTCCAGAGGTGTTTACTATAAACCATGCAACGAGAAACCTTCTGTTCCCTTGTAGCAGAGAGAGTTTTTCCCTCTCCCTCTGTCATTACAATGCCTGAAAGCACAAACACAGCTCAGGGTCTGGTTTCACATGCGTTGTGGAGCTCTGCTTTGTTTGTCTTCAAGATTCCAGTGGTAGTGTATAAATGACCCCCCAACACTTGTTCTTTTGCTTTGAAACTGATTTCTCTCAGCTTGGCAGGTGAAACTCCAAATAGGTACGTCTGGCCCGTTCCCTGGGGAGCTTAGAATGGCACCGACTAAAGTGGGAGAAGAGCTGACAGCTTTAAAGCTTTAGAAGTGGTAATAGGAGAGGCATGAGAAGACTTTTATAAGTCACTTTCTCCCACACCATATTATGAAACCAACTAATTCCCATGCAGTGCATGCTCATGAGGCCAACTGCCACTTCCAGTGTTGAATCCATGAATAAGTGCTTGCTCTGCACGGAGATGAGTGCTGTTCCCATATGCTGGGTTTTATTTTGTAGACAGAACAGTTGACACACTTTTTGTCTCAAAGATCAGAGTGCAGGGCATGTTTGTGTAAGGACAAATTACAAAGGGTAGGTGCCTTTGTGTTTCTTAGTTAGGAACACAAGATGATATTTCTGCATAGAGGTAGGTGCTTTCACAGTTTTTTGAATAGTGTGCATCATATATGCAGAAAAACTGTTTTTTTGTATTTCACGTAATGAGTGAAACAGGATATAAACTTACAAGGAGCACAGATAAATACAGTATTCACTATGCCCTCTGGCATATTCACCCACACTTTGTTCTCTTTCTCTCCTTCTCCCATCTCACATATATGCACAGTACATGTGAGCACACACATATGCGGACATTTGATGCATGGCTTTTATTAGTGCATTTGCCATTGATTGATTAGTACTTAGTATTAGTACTTCTTCTATTGATTGATTGCAGATGAAGTGACTATTTGACCTTTAATTATGAGCCTTGCTATTGAAAATGACATTGAGCTATGGCTTCACATAATCCATCTGGAAAGCCCGACATGATGCCATTCCCTGGAGTTCATTCAGTGAGAAGAGGCCTCAAGGAAGTGCAAAGCTATCAGTGTGGCTCATCTAAAAAATACTGCAGTTGTTGCTTGCACTTACACAAAAGTTGCAGCCAAGTACAGAATATTATTTTATTTTTTGCAAAGAGTGAATTGCTAGCTAGAAGTTATAATTCCAAAAGTAAAATGTAGGGTTGTCAAAAAATATTTTCACTTCAATACTTCGTATTTGCTATGTAAAATTATTTTATCAGTGACGAGTACTGCTACCTATTTTGACTATCACAAGTACAAATGTTAGTACTGTAGGTATGATGAACAGCAGATTGGTTAAAAAAAACAAACCAAAACAACAAAAATAAACCCACCATAATAAAATGAAGGTATTGTTTGTGATGCAGAGTGCATTTTTCCTCATTTGGAATTATCAGTGTAGCAGTTCTTTCACCATGGAATTCTTAAAGTAATGCAAAGTTTTCTAGGCTACAAAATACTTTCAGGAAAGAATAGAGTTAATTTTGCAAATAAAAGCCAAAGTGTTAACTTTCTTTTGTGTTGTTTTAAGTTAATTCAAATTTATTTTTTAAATACTCAGCTTCTTATGGCACG